GAATGATTGTGTTAAGCTAGCACTAAGTCCCTCCCCCATCCACCTTTACTCTTTTCTTTACAATAAGGCTTTCGAATAAGTCATGGTTGTACGGCATTGAAGCATCGGTGTTGAACACTGATTGCTGGCTGTCGATGATGATGAACATTTCGCTTGCCATCTTAACCTCAGTTTGTTCGCCGGATGAGGTAAAATGAACTGAACCGTATCCAAGGCACTGATGTCATGCTGTCGATGATGATGAACATTTCGCTTGCCATCTTAACCTCAGTTTGTTCGCCGGATGAGGTAAAATGAACTGAACCGTGCTCATCCAAGGCAAGCCAGGACGGAACGTTGGCAGTGATTTCGTAGCTGACCGCAGCTCAGACCGCTGGTGTGATAAAAGAATGACCCACACAATGCCTAACATTAGTAATCTCATGGCTTTGGGTTAAACGATCAGAAATTAGGAACGCATACTTTGTAAGCCATCGTATAGAACCGATCACAGGGGGACACTAGTGAATTTTCATTTAAAAAGAGGAAGATGCTTCATGCAAGGAAAAGCCACTTTTCAAAACCACATGAGGTCAATTCGTGACTGATCTAGCCCAAACATAAGCGTTGTCAATCGTGGATGGCTCAGTGTTTCAAAATATTGAGGGTGCGTAAACCTAGTAGTCGTATTTATGTTTAAAGCTGGTATCGCCTTGCGATTAAAAAATAGCAGCACGCTCGCCTCGCATGTTAGATGTCTGGAGTTCGAACCCCTGCACAGCCAAGGATTGCACTAGTGATATGCTTTAATAAGAGCGAGACTCGAGGTCTGCGCTTCTCTCCTTTGTTAGGGAGGAAGGACAGGAGGAGAAGGGGGACTGGTTAAACAAGAGCGATATGGATGTGATTTCTACAAATCCCGTAAACCAGTGATTCTTATAATCATTAGAACACCAAACTGTTGGAAATTGAAGCGTTGCATTGCCATATGATCACGAGACATCTCATGTCAACATTCTGCCGCTGGCGGCAGTTCTTTTGAGTAGTTATAGCATGTACAACACGTACGATGTTCTTGACCAACAAACAGCGGAACGATGAATCACCGTAATTATCACTGTACTGTTTAGGAGGATGCCGGCTCATCTACATTTAGCTGCATTACGATGATTTTACATGATTGTGCATTGAACACTATCATCTAAAAAACTGGCAACCCCTAACTCATTTTGGGGGAACGACAGTGTGATGCGCAATCCATACCATTGCTTTCTATATCATCCATATTGGATTTATTCCGGGTCATGGAGGGCGAGATGGCCCACGTGGTTAGAGCGCGAATTTACTGACCGAAGGGTCCGTGGTTCGAATCTGACCTCCGCCACTCCACTTCCCCTGTCTGGGGAACCTGCTTGGGCAACCTGGAAGTATCCCAGCCCTCGTGCTTCCTTCGGGTGGCATGGCAGCTAGGCACCGGAAGGGTGCTACAGCTGAACGCTTTTTTTATTCCGGGTCATGTGCTTATTGCAGTAATAATCATATTATGTAATGTTAGGTGAGAAGAATTCTCTTCGAAGGTCGAAATCCCTGCTCAGTATGTAGACTCTTTGGTAGGGCATTCTAGCTCTGAACTAGTTCAGATAGGAAGATTTTGCTCCCCATTTTGTGCCGGCTTTTGTAAAATTTTCTTCGACAAATTTTACATGGGACGTAGCTAAGGCTTATGAATCTGCGCTTAAATAAATTCGTTGATATCCTTGTGGCACACTGCGATTCTCTGTCCCTTCTATTTCTTTCTAGGCTACTTTTGATACAAACTTTGTCCTAGTATCCGTCCTCCATGCATGTAAATTCCTCATCGGCCTCCGTGTTGCTAGAGAGGAATTTGATGTACAGACCCTTATGGACTGCCATTCGTAACTGATCTGATTGCAACGTTCGCGGTCGCCCAGCTTTCCATAGTCTTTCCATTTCGAGACGTTCCGGCATTTTTGTGATGTGTCACAAAGTTACAGCGGATTTTACGCCACTTGTTTTGTTTGAAATATTGTCACCGTCAGTTAGGACGGAGATGATCTTTTCGATATTGCTTCGCCAAGTTATATATATATATATATATATATCGTAAAGCAATAATACAATGAAGGCTGCTGAACGCACCAAACCACAAGTACTTATTGGGTAATAATTTTGTATTGTCTGCTCGGCAAATTGAAGCGAATGATCAACAAAATATATAATAGCCCAGGCTCAGTTTGCCGTGTCGCACAGACTGACAACAATGATGGGCGACATAAATAACAATCTCGTCTGTCCTTCGGACCTCGACAAACCAACTGATGAACCGGCATTTCTACTGCTCGATATACTGTAACAGTGGTTCACCATATCTAGTGTGAAATGCACCAAATTTCTGATCAATGCGTGCAGAAGAGTGGAACTGTTGTCAACACTTCATTTTGTTCGCTATCAGTCATTTAACCATTCGTGTGTCGCACCGTTATGCTAGAGCCCAGGCATCTGGATGGTCTGACGCCAATCAGTATGAATCCTAAACCGTTTTGTGAGGGATCTAAGTTAGGCTGACAAAATATCATTGGACGCCGTCCAAGTACAGCGGGAATTTGTTGAGTGCGATCACCTAGTTGTGCGAATTTTTCTGCAAGATGCACACAACCAAGTTTGACTACGAGTCACGCGATTAATTTATGTATGTAAGAGGTCGAGTAGATTTGGACCTTTAGTCGAGCGATTTCAAAACCTCTGCATTACATCCCAGCTCAGGATTCTTTTGGTTGGGGGCATACCCCATCGTGTATGTAATGTGCGTTGAGTTCCTTGATGTGTCTCCGATAAAAACGTTCATAGGCGAGTATTTGATAAAAGCCATACAACGGCGTGTGAATAATGAGGTTCGTTGGCTACCTTTGCAATTTTGGAACCTTCAGTCATTGTCCTTGCTGCATGTGAATGATTATAAAAAGCCTTGTGAGAATGTGACTGTATTCATCGTTACTAAGAATCAAGCGGATAGCAAGTTTTAATGCTAGATAGTAACACGAATAGCTGTGCTTACACTCTAGATGCAGACGTTATCATCATCATTCATCTGTTTTTTGTGATTCGTCGAGTCCGAAGCAAGCAGACTCGATTCTTTTAAAGAGGTCACCAAATACATGCCGTACCTGGAGTTCGTCTTTCAACATTTCCATAAAAATAAACATCTCACATTACATTGAACAAGGGCGCCTGTTAGTCTCAGCCTCGCAAAATGCCTCACTAACTCAACTCACTACACCAGGTTGTGGGTACTGCCAACGAATAATATCAAAGTTCCATCAGTAATTCCCAAGTTTGGGTTGTCTGTGTTAATTTGGTTAGTATGGTTTTAAGTTTCCCATTAGAAGTTTACCACGATGTGTTAAATGAAAAGATCAATAATTGAAAAAGAACAACTTTTGGCGTCCCGAAATCTGAAAATGTGTTTGAGAAAAATCTGGCAACAAACTTTAAAATCAAAGGTATCATGCGACAACAGTGGGGGTGAAGTATACTTTTGAGTAGTGTTCAGCGTGGATTACAGTAAAGAACACCACTGCTTTCCTAACAGCAAGAGAATTCAACGCATTGTTTGAGGGTCCAAGTGTTTCTGTTTGGTTATAACCTCTAACAAACCGTTGGAAATATATATATATATATATATCGTGTACTTCGAAGGCCCCTGAAGATTCGATAACAAACGAACTCTGTTAGCGCCCCAACTGGATAAATGCAGCACAAATGAATGACATGAGTGGACAAAATAGTACAATGGTATATGACACGTTAATTGGTAAGAGAAGATACGCATCAATCGGATGAGATATGAACTCGTTTGGGCACATGTTCCGCCTAAAGTTATCCAGTGGAACCAGGGGCTTTGAAAAACCATGTGTGTGTGTTTGTGTGTGTGTGAAAAGACCACTTTTATTCAGCCGCATAGCAACAGCCTCTGCTGCCGATAACAGACGGCGTCTCACTAGTCTGGAATATCTACCTGAGACGCGTTGAGTCGGTAGAATCGCCTGATTGATGTTCACCTCGTGAAAAGGTACTGAATGTCGGCAACCTATTCCTTAGTCGTTCAACAAAAACCCGATCTGGAAGTAAAGCCGATGCGGTTTTCTGTAGCTTTAGGTCGGCTTTGATTAAACAGCGGCTGATTATTTCATCACTGGTCTCACTTGGAACATCTCCACTGCTTGTTATTCTACGTCTTTCTAGGGTGTTTTAGCACTGAATGTATGGTGGCAGTCACTCTGAATGGACGCAAAACCAGAAAGGATGAATAGCATCTTCAGTTCCCACTCTACCTGCTAGGGAAGGAAAAAGATTCCGTTTTTGTCTGGATATCATCTGATTGATAGGTTTTTTCTCTGGTTGGTTATCGTATATCCTGTTGTCTATTTCGCATGCATTAATCCAGTTGTTTGTCTTTTAGTCATTTGATTATTGCCGTACATTTGTTCAAAAGTTTGATGTGTGATTTGACACTGCTGTAGTCTTTTATACCGATAGGTTACCTTGTGGAACTCTTCGGTTGTCAATCGGCAAGCACATAAAATAGTATTTATATTTGGGAGACACTGGGATTCCTGAAAATATTATCGGGCTGTGTTTTGAAATTACTGGAACATCTCAAAGTGTGTCGACGTGGATGTTTACGCAAGCATACTTTACTACGGTGATGGTGGGGAGTTTTTATCATTTGCTCATCTGCTTTCCTACTTTCAACAGACCGTGAGATACGAAGGCACCATGGCCCTCTGGAAGGGCTTTGTTCCAAATTGGATGCGACTTGGACCTTGGAACATTATTTTCTTTATGAGTTTTGAGCAACTTGGGCGCCTTCCATTTTGAATGTGTATGAATTTCCAGTCCACTGAATTTTCCATGTTTCAAGGTTTACTCTAGTTTAGTTCCGATTGTTTTTGGTAATTTCGTGATATTTCTCCCGTTTTTATTCCACTGAAGATGTATTTTTTAATCGAATAATGCTTGAGTGCGTCACTAGGTTGAAAAAACTAAAGGAGCCATATTAAAAATAAATGGATTATGTACAGAGTGCATGGTTAACTTTTTGAGCCCCATTTTGATCGGTTTTCCAGCTAATTTCTTGTAAGATTTTTTTTATGACGATGACGGTGAAAAGAATAAGGTAAGAAGGAGTTTTTATTACTTAGCGTTTCGATCATTGTGAATAATCTCCTCTCTTTCGTTATTCCGATTATTTTTCTCCTTACGAATGTTACCCGCGGTAATCGGAGTGTTGAGTTATTCAGCGTTCTGCAATGATCAATCTCCAGTGATCAATCATAACGAATGTCACTCAGAAGTGGATGGGTTGTAATCGGTTGTAATCAGAATCCATTAGCAAATACAGACAGGAATAATACGTCATCACAATGCAAAGCAGAAATGTAGCACTTTCCTACTGATCTACTGTTAACTGAATGACAAATTGTTCTAGCTACTTGAGAACCGATAATTCAACCTCGGGCTTGAGCTGACGGATTCCGTAAAGCGTTTGCACTCCCCAGGCAACAGTGTATCCAACCTACTATATGATTTGGCTGCTGTTCTTTTGTCTTGCTAGATTTCCTGGGTGCTGTGAAACTATTGAGAAAGCCAAGCGCCAGCAGGTTTTTTCCAACCGGACTCAGCGAATAGGAAAAGATGAGCTTTCGGCCTTGACAAGCAGCTTCAATTGGTACGTTGACAAGTGGCGCGACATGAACGGGTGGCTGGCACTGAGTTTACTGGTGGTTTTGCTGATATCTCGATGTCAGATTGTTTCATTTCGGAGTCAGTTATCTACATAAGCTCCCTCAGCGTTGGTTTCGGCGGTTCTGTGTTGGCCACTGCCCCGTTACACTGATCCAACCTGAGTTGATATTTGCTGGACCGGATCAAATATAGTCGTATGTGAAATCGATTTTTCCCCACTCCATTTGAATGACGCCGCACGAGAGAAGAATGTACAGGATGTTGGCACTTAAAAGCCAGGAAGCACTGACAGCTATCCTTTTGCGAGTCATCGGCGACACGCATCTGACAACTCTCTAGGACGATTCGAACGCGCGTTATTTCAGTTAGCAGGTGGACTCCAAGAACATTTATGAAATGATTGTGGCCAAACGGACCCGTGAATCGTTCAAAAGCCTGGTTCTTGAACATTTTCTGAAGTCGTGATCGATAACAGTTTAAATGTCGGACGCGGATGCCATGCACTCGATGTATTAGAACTTCATTCCAATAATTTTAACGATTTACCTTTAAAATTGCAGTGATGTTGCAACACGAAAAAGGTATCGACGTTTTGGTTGATTCGCAATGTGCTTTCATCTCTTCCGTAGTGGGCTCGGGCTTTGTTGCAGTTGGTATGCTAGGTAAAATGCGGTATCAAACCACAGCAATAAGAGGACAAGAACACTGGTCGTAGCATAGATTCTTTTCGAACCTCTAATCGAGGACGCTTTATTGAATGAGGCAATCTTGATTCATCACCTATGATGGATATCCCCCTCGAATTAGGTACGGATCGAGTCCTCGGTTTTCATCTCTCAACCATGGTCACAGAGTGACAACATCCATCTCATTTTTGTCAGTATATCTACGCATCCAGTCCGTCAGTATGGTGTATTACAGTGTCTTGTGCACGCACCATCGAAGAATGTGTACATCAGCGGTTCTGATTCTTCTGTAGTACGGCCCATGCCAGCCTTTTCGGTCTTGTTCTTTTTTGACGCTGTCTGAATCACTAGAGTTAGTGTTCGACATATCCTCGCGTTTACTCCAAGCGCGTGGGGTTGACTGTTACAATCAAGGTTTGATAATGCAGCAAAGACTTTTGGCCATTAAACTACGAGAGGTACACAGTATTACCGACCAGGAACTTACGATGAGGTACTCAGGCATTCTGATTAGCTTTTGGGTTACTTTGAGATGTCGTCTGCATCAAATGTACGTGAAACGATTCCCTGGCTGGGAACCCTCAATATGGGTTGATGGGTAAGTAAACGTAGATTTAGAGTTCTTTTTTAGGACAACAGGCTTCTAAATGACTTCGTTTTCGAAGCAGTGGCACAACTGAACAACAACTATAAGCTCAGATTCATAGATGTGTTGCGATGCCCGGATAATTGCGGAGCTCATTCGCGTAATGCAAACGTATTACATAAGCCTTTCTCTTGACGATCATATCAAATTCGATTTGAAGTTAATGAAATCGAAAGGAGCTGATATTCGATGGGTAGTTTTCGAGATAATGTATTTGCTTAATGATAAAAATGGAAACTCCACCAAATGAAGCTCCATTTTATTATTTTCTTATTATTACTAATTAAGGAATTGTACAGGAGGGTTCACATATGATGAAATACCATACTTTCAAGATTTTTTTATTTACAAGATCGCTTCTGTTTATATCTCACTTCATGGAACAAAGAATAGTCCATTTTAGCGGTTTACTGGCATGCGATGTTTTGCAGTGTCAGTGGATAGGGTAGGTATTATAAAACAAAATGCCACAGTGCGGAGCAGACAATAGCTATCGTTAAAGAAGCCTGCGGAAAACATTGGACTCAAGTTTTAAACTCATCGTGAGTTGTAGTCTTCTCATCCAGCCCGTAGCATCCCTTGATCCAAATAGGCATCATTCTATTAGGATGTTCATAGCATTTTTAGCGTCTCACCAATCTACTTTATCGGCTTGAATGCCTTCCGCTTTCACATATGCCGCCGGAACTGAGAACGTTCGACCAGCATCCAGATGAACTAGTCCATCCATTCAGTTGATACGTGAAAATGATACGATTTCATTGTTTCAACTGAACCCTGTAGCAAGCCTTCTTACTGTCACGTCAGTAATCTGTCTGTTCGACAGCAGGTGCAAGGACATTGGCGTTCCCGCGGCTAACCTGAGAGAACGGGGTAATTTTCTGTAAATTTCGGTATTTTAATGGTTAGGTGCTTCTTCCCACAATAGGGTAACTTCAGTCCGAATACTTTCAATGGTTTAAGATAGACCAAGAATAGAAGAGCATGTGAGTCCGATTATGTCATCGGGATTCATAATAGATTACACCGTCATCCGAATCACCTTGCACTGAGCCAAGTTTGTAACGGAACAAAACCAGGAATAAAGCCAAAGTGAATTTAAACGTGACTGCCCCTGTTTATTAGAAGAAACTCGGAAAGTTCACTTTTGAAATAATAGGTTCAAACACTGTGCCCTTGTTGCCCGTTTACAGGCGAGTGCTAAACGCGACACTGGTGAGCATCGCTGTCTTGTTTCGTTTGTACACAAGATTGAAACAGCGAAAACTGCGCGTCTGATATGAAACAGAATTTTGATTAATCGGATTGACTAGGTGATAGGTGAATTGTTTTCTGAGTCTGGTGGTTTTGTCTCGAACCTCACGGTTTTGAAAACCATACTGTGCAGTAACCACTCCATAGCCTTGAACAGTCTAATCGATCGGATTTTTCCAAAATTATTTCAAGTCTCAGGTGGACATTGTTGCTCCGAATTTTGGCAATCTTTTCACTCACTGTTTGTCCCGAATAAAGGTGTTTAACACACGTACAAAGAGTTTTGATGTGGCTGGTCGGCAGTGGCTGCCTGTATGATATTGTAGGTGATTTTGCATCCTGGTGCTTTTCAGTAAATTCGGATGTAATTCCTCGTAATGGTGACTCTGGTGTTGAGCTTAAGAAGATAAATTTTATAAATGATGTCCCTGGGAAAAGTTACTGCAGGCGTTTCGACTGGAGGTGTTGGAACTCGTCCCAAAATGACGATAAGCGGAATTTGAGGAACTGAACAAAGGTATCCCATCAAACAAGGTGGTCACTTTGGCGGACGCATATGTGGCGATGCGGTATTTCCATGGCATTGACAATTGCTGTTTGCCTGATGTGATATGTAGAACAACGCGACTAGTAGGTGCAACATTTAAAATGAAAGTGGCCAGCCCAAAGTAAGGTTTTTCTATTACATATCAACCATGGTCGTTGCCTTGTTCGCTGAGCTGGGTAATTTTATTGCAAACGTTTCCTCCCCAATCGAGGTGACATCAACAGTGAGTTATCGGGGAGCGTAGTGGTGCATAGCGATGGGTTGCTGGTTGTGCCTTGAGCAGTGTTGCGTGTGTGTATATATATGTGCTGCTGGTCGGGGCTGATCTTTGATCGCGATTAGTCTTTCGATCGGTCGGTCGGTTTCATTGGTTGCTCTGTTATCCTGTGTCCTCATTCGCGTTGGCCACGTGACCTTTTAGCTTGGCATCCCCTGCCGTACTCTGATCGGTGTTGGAGTGACGTTTGTCCTTGGCCCTTCTGAGTTCCGGCTTGTGACCTTCATTGATTTGTGAATCCAAAATTCGATTCTCCTTGACTATTCCGGTTAAGATGTTGTTACTTTGCACGCAGAGGTGTGTAGGTTGGATCCAGTTTGATGCACCAGTTGATTGAATCTGCCGCGCAGTAACACGCTTCCAAAAATTCGCTTCCTTATCTTGTGTCTCCGTGTGCCAATTTTTTCGTGTTTTCTAGATTGAATTTGTGGTCCTCTTGGTTTTCGTGTATGGATATCAAGGATAGGGGGTCATATCTCCTAACGCCCGTTTTGTGTTCCTTTATTCGTGTGCATAATTTCCTCCCAGTTTACCCACAGTAGAATTTGTTGCAGTTGTTGCATTAGATTAGATATTACAGTGTTCCTTTTGGTTTTGTCTTGGTTATCCTCCGGTCTAGATATTAATTTCCTTAGAGTGGCATTCGGTTCGTGGGCCACCAGTATTCCTTTTTGAGCCGATAATTCTGTTGCGAGTTCCGATACATTCTTGATGTAGGGAGAACTACCGTCTGGTGGCTTGTTCTGTGGTGCTGCAGTGTGCCTTTGCCCTCTTGAACAAGGTTTAGACGCAGCTCTTCTTGTGGTTCACTGGATCGTTGCTGTTGTAGTTCAGTACTTGATCCGTATGCGTCTCTTTCCGACATACACAGGTTTCCAAAGTCCCATCCACCTTTCTGTTCACTAAAACGTCAAAGAATGGTAGTCGATTGTCCCTCTCCAGTTCGGTCGTAAACTTAATATCCTAAAACGTGGTGTTGAGCAGTTCATGTGCATTGTGTACTGAATCCCGTTTCATGATGACAAAGGTGCCGTCCACGTAGCGGATCCACAGCTTTGGACTGATGATCGGCAGTATAGCGCGCCCTAATCTTTGCATTACCGTCTCAGCGATAAATCCTGGTATTGG